AGACCTTCTGAGCAGTAACACTTTCACATGACTCTAAAAAGTCTAAATGTTTGTGAAGTAATAAAATTAATTGCATAATCCAGTTGTTCTCATAATGCAACAAAACAGATTGTTGTGGACGCAAAATTATAATGACTTGTCACACAAAGCCATGAATTATGGCTTTAGCAAGAATTATAATCTGTTTGAGTGTCATATATATTTATTGTGAGTTGTAAACATATAAATTGAATTAAAATCAAATACCCACGCGGTTTAGCTGAGAAAAAACAGAATCAAATGAATTAAAATTACTACATGTGGTTATGATAGGAAATGTATATTCTACATATTATAACTGTGTAAATGAATTATTTATCAAAGCTAGAACTGCCACTTGTTTTGATGTATTTAAGTCTGGCACCCATTTTAGCAGTTACCCAACTGAATTGGGCAAGTCTAATTTCCTCCAAATAGTTTGCAAGATTAACTATAATATGATGCTATAAAGTCTTTTTAGGGCAGTTCAGGTAATGTGGTACATTCAAGAGAACAAGTAATGAAAAGCGATGTCTCCGTTAAAAGACAACTCACTCCTAACTAAAAGATGGGACTGTTATACATTATTTAAGCTGACATTTTGTGCATTATGATTCCTGACATTCATTTTTTCACCGGTGGTCTGTCTGTGTCTGAGGTTAGATGAAGATGAGGAGTAATGACCGTGTGGAGTAACAGCGCTGATGTGGTAACAGGGGTCACAGGTTTAATCTCCAGCTGGGGCAACCCATGAAATGAACGGTTACCAAGATGCCCATCATGTTCTGTCACCGCTGTGCCCTTGAGCGAGCCTCTTAACTCATGCTTGTACAGAAATACTTGCGTAATTACAGGAACCTGTCCTTATTGTAGGCCTTCTGGAAGATAAAAGGAAGCAATCTTAACTTGGGAATTTAATGCAAGGTTGTATCCCAGATATTAGCCAGGTTAAATGAGCACACACATATTTTGTGATTGTGTAATTTTGTGTGTGTTTAGTTCATTTAGGGTGGTCCCGGCCTTTATGGCTCTCACAGCACCAGTGTCGTTTCTTGATTTGTTTCTCCACCTGGACCATTCATGCCTACACACACAGACATGAATGTGGTGTGGACCATGTGTATGTATATGTGTGTTCTCCATCATCCTTCAACTTAAAGGAAATGAAACTGGAAAATTTGGATGGGATCAGGAGAATATGTATGTTTGTGTACAGTATGTGGTTGCATCATGCTTGTACACAAATAAATAAAAGTTACAGGATTTTTTTATTTATTATTATTTTTTAAACAGTGATGCAATAGATGAACCATTTTGGTTCACCAAAGAGCTTTTAGGTTCTGCGTATTTCTTTATTTATTCAAGGCAAAGCAAACTTTATTTATGAAGCACAATTTAAACAACAGTAGTTCATTCAAATTGCATTTTACTCTTAATAATAGATGTTTGTAAAATCAGTCTGCAGAGACTTTCATAGCCAACAGCGGAAATCAGAATGTTTTATATTATTATTTGTTTAGACATTGATGAGAAACTTGATTAATACTTGGTATTTTTACATTTAGCCTTTTAATAGAGTATTTAGCTGCATTTACTTTAATCTATGTAGTCAGAAAAATAATAACAGTCCCTAGTTACTTTCTTAATGCAAGTTGATGGCAGAATTAAGCAATAACGTGTTACTAATCATGTGTTACTGTAACGGCAATACTTTTGACAGTAAGTCATACTGCAATGCATTACTTTTTAAATATAGTAACTTCGTTATTGTTACAATATGATGCGTTTGTCCGTTACTTGGTAAGCTAATAAATTTTGACTGCAGTCTAGCCCACATCTTCCTGTTTACAGTGGCGATGCAGTGTGGGATTGGTGGGTGCCAACTTACCACTGTAAAGAAGACACGACATGTATTAGGTGCCAGACTAGACAAAAGTCAAGCAAAAGCAGAGAGACCAAATGCACGTGAGGTAAATCAGGTGTGCACGCTATAAAGAACAAGTTTAATTTGTGGTTAGTTTTGCTCATTGATTTTATTTTTAAGCAGCTGTTGTGTTTTTGTTTTGTTTAAAATGCATATCAAATATGGTTGTCTATAATAGCAATTTTTTTGGTGGGGAATTTCACCAAATTGGTTTTGAATGATCTGATTCTGAATTCAGATTATTTAATTTATTAATTTCATAAAGGTTTTGTGTTTGTTGTGTATTGCTGCTAGTTTTCATGCTCAAGCTGTGAAAGAACATGATTATGGATTAAATTTAACAACTTTTATGATGCTCAAGCAACTAAATATATTATTCAGCTGGTTTATCACCTTGTGATTTTTATTTTTTATTTTAGTTCTGTTAATTTAAATTTTGCGTTTAGAAAAAACTTCCACTTTTGAGTTAATTCCTCCTAAGAAATTAACATATGTAAATAATTATTTCATTCAGTTTTAAACTTAAGTTCCACCGGCTATTTTGTCTCATCAAATAAACTGTATCATATTTCATGATGAATATTGAAGCTGAAATATGTCATTTTATGGAAGAATGATAGATTGATAATAGACAATCACTTTGAAATCATATTTATTTTTGATAAGATATTCAGTCATGTTAAGTCTTTCACCTGGCTATGTATATGTTATCATTTATGTTTGTGTGTACGTGTGAAGGCAATGGAAAACAAAGGTTTACATTATATGCTGCTGACGACATCAGGTCTCCATGACAGCTTATAGTAAGTATCATATAACATGGGCCAGCTCTCTCTCTCTGTTCTATCTCAATTTCTCTGTCTCTCGCACGGTGAAACTTGGTACAGCATCTCTGATTATTGTGATTTCAGAAGCTCTAGATCTATAAATGGATGTTGAGGTGTGTGTTTGCGAAACAATGGAATGGAAAAGGAATAAAAGCAAGAGGAGATAGAGGGAAAATGGAAATGCGTTTGAAAGCTTGATGAAATCATATTTGCTGACTGTTGCCCTCTAGAGTGTCTCATTGGTGCCATAATGACGCCACTCAGTCGAAAGAGTGTAGCGCAGCACACACAGAGCTGTGTTTGTAATGATTGCAGATCTTCATTTCATGGATACACTGTTTCACATAATAGGTTAGTGATCGTTCATCAAAAAAAAAAAATAATAAAAAATCTGTCATAATTTATTGACCCCAATGATTTTCCAAACACATATTCCATCTTAGTTCTGGAACATAAAATGAGAGTTTATGAAAAACAGAGATGTACTGATTGTTCTTTTTCCTACAATTATGACTGAACTGTCAAGCTTCAAAAGAAAAGTGATGTAAAACATCATAAATGGGATGAGTGCACTATATTCCACAACATCTGAAGTCATTCAGTTTAACAAACCATGATTTGAATTTTTATTCACTGACTGTTTCCCACCAGTGAGCTGTTAACCACTGCGAGCAGATCACTGAATTTGTAAAACTGAAATCATCTGACTCAAAAGAGTGATTCATTAATGAATCATAGATATTGCTACTTTTGTAAGAACTCTGATGAAAGAGGATGCCCAGTCCACTTTTTAGTCATTTCCTTATACAAAAGTAATGTATGGCTTCAGAAAGCTTTAACATCAAGATTATTCCTAAAAATGAAAGTTTTCAGAAGACATTTAATGAGATTTTGAACATAACAGTGAGTAAAAAAACATTTTTTTTAATCTCGTGACATCTTTTTGGATATTTTTCAATAATTCTTTTGTGAGAAGTAAATTATGTTAAAGTAAATAGAATATAATTTGACAAAAGTCTGTATTTGTATTGAACTTTTACAATTTCACCAACATTACCTTTTCAGAAATCTATTATACAGTAGATACACAAAAAAGTTTCTCAGGACCTTCGGGACTTGAAAGTCCCAACTGAAGCCCATTGAAACAACATAGAAATATATAAGGTTAGTGGCATTTAAGAAAAATAATGCATACAATATATATTTTTTAAATCAGGCTTCCATACAGTTGGCTCAGCTTTAAAAGTGCAACTTTAAAAAGGCTACAGTAAATTACCACCTTTCTACTGCAAGGCAAATGAATTCTTATTTTGTTATAATTGTGTGAATGTGTGTGAGTGGTAATGTTTTAGTTTTATGTGACACGGCACAAAACAAAACATTAAAAATATAGACACATATATGAGTACACTACTCACAAATCTGTAATTTAAATGAATGTTTTCTAAAGGAAGTTTTGCAATATTATATTTATGCATATACATTACAATAGTCAGTACTGAAGCCAAATCTGGAGCCTATCTAACAAATTAGCTTATGCTAACTGTTCAAAACAATTTTACCTAAATTTATGTGTTATGAAAAAATATCAAATACAAATTTAAAAAAAAGAGGAAAAATCTAAAATATTTTACAATTTAGGTGAAATTTTGTAGGTTGCCATTTTTTTCCCTAATATTTTCCATGAATTTAAATTTATTATCTTTCTATTTCTAAAGACGGTGACTAAAATATTCTTTTAATAAGTATATCTGTTTAAAAAATCTGTTTTGTTTAAATGCACCAAAATGCATTGACTATATTCACTGAGAAATGGATACAAATATTCATCTTCAAAATGGGGTGAACTCAGTTATGCTGTTCATTATATAATCTACTTAGACTTTTGGTGTATGGAGAAAAGAAAATTGTGTGGTGATGTTAATGGTTCTGATCCTTAAAGTAATAGATTTTTTGGTAGTTAACATCAGAATTGATACTGGTAAAGGAAATGTAAGTGAAAGTGTTAAAAAAAAGTTGACGTGATACTTTTGTAATGTTTGAATGTTTGTTTATTTATTTAAGAAAATGTCCTCTATATGGACATGTTTGTTATTTTTTTTATTGACCCAAAAGTGGTTTAAAAAATAGCCTCATTACATTTCCAAGGTGAGCTAAAGTTGCAGTGAACTTTATGGGAGCCCATCCAGAACTAATTAAAACATTTCAACATAACAGAACACACATCTGAAAGTGCACATCCCAACATTCACAAGCAAGAGAGAGAGACTTTTACCTCTGACCAGTCTCCACCCATAATAGCCTGCCATCCAGGAGGGAGTGGCTGAGCGAGGGAGGAGAAACAGAGAGAGAGAGAAAGCTGGAGAGCTCTGCGGTAGCAGTCAGCACAAGAGCCAAAGCAGAGAAACACTGAAAGAGAGAGAGGAGGTAAAAGAAGGAAGCTAAGATAGAAACAGTAGAATAACAGCTAAAAATAAAGGAGAAAAACATAAGAGGAAAGTCTTCAAAAACACCCCCGACCAGCATAGAAGAGATTTAGTAAATGAGAGAGGGGGAAAGACTGATTTAAAGAAGTCTTGGAGACACATGTTCATGCGTGGACTGTTGCTGCTGCTGTGATCTGTCATTCCTCCTCACAGTGCGTGTGTGTGTGTGTATGTGTGTGTGAGCCTGTCGTTCCTCTGGAGTCTACGGGACCATGGCACCTGTCAGGAACGAATGAACTTGAGGCTTAAAGGACTTGCTGAATTACAAGAAAGAGGAAAAAGCTGAAAGAGTAAAAGGTAAGTTGGTTTTCTCTTTCTAGCAATGCTGCACAGTGTCTGTTTGTGTATGCTGGAGTGTATGTAAAAGCTTCTCCCTGTTTGATTTGTGTTGGCTTTTTATTAATCCATATTTAATATTTTCTTTGAAACATTTAAAGTGAAGGCCATAAAGATGTGAGCTGTTTAAGAAGTGTGAGTGTGTATGGGGTTGGGAGTCCTCTAATGCGACAAGCTGTTTGACCTCTTTGTGCATGAGTGTACTTTACATATTATGTAGTATGTGGATGAATGATGGCTTGGTATTGTGTATAAAGGGTTAAACAGTGTAGTTTTGTGTGTAATACTACTTTGAATTGCCTGTGTGGGGACTGGCCTAACTGAACTGTTTTCTTAATATAGGATGATATTAAAAGATTAAATGGTCTGTGAATAAGGGAGAGACAGAGATACAGATCAAGACTGGACGATTGATAGGGACAGACATGTTCATTCTGTGAGTGTGTTTCTGCTGAAATATTTACCCCGGTGCAACTCTGACGGTTCCCGTGTTGCTCATGGGATGATGTTCTTTGGTTCAGACAAAGAGCAAAAGACTGTTATCATCACTTCAGCATCAACATTTTATGATTCTTATATTTCCATCCCTCAAACTGTCACAGATTAAAGATGTAAAATGAAAAGATGAGAGTATGCATTCACAAACAAACACAAAAGTTTAGTTTTGTTAGTGCATTCCCAAAAATAAAGGGTTTTAAAGGGATGTTTCATAGTTTAGGATGTTTATATCTAACAGATATATCAATTCACCTTTGTTCGTGCGGCAATAAGGCTTTACAACCTTACATTTTAGCAAGTTTAAATTTTAACATTTTTAATATATGGGTCTTTCCTATGTTTCTTTGTTACTATTTATGAAGTTATTATGAAGCATGCTGGATTGTATTTTTGTGTTTGCTAGTGATTTGTCTCTTTATGTGTTTGTTATATCATGAATTGCTACTGCCCTTATTTAATTGCCCTTGGTGAGATTAATAAAATTGTTAAACTTATAGTAATATCATTCATTTATTACTTAGGGGTTGCCACAGCAGAATGAACCGCCAACTTATCCAGCATGTTTTACGCAGCAGATGCCCTTTCAGCTGCAACCCATCACTGGGAAACACCCATATAGTCTGACATGCACTACAGCCAATTTAGCTTACCCAATTCACCTATACCACAGGTGTTTGAACTGTGGGGGAAACCGGAGCACCTTGAGGAAAGCCACACCAACAAAGGAAGAACATGCAAACTCCACACGGAAATGCCTGCTGATCCAGTCGGGGCTCAAATCAGCAACCTTCTTGCTGTGAGGCGATCATGCTAACCACTGAGCCACTGTGTCGCCATAGTAATATCATGTAAAATAAAAAATTTTGGACCCCACAGAACCTTTAGTAGGAAAGTTCTTTAACAAGTGAAAAGAACAGTTTAATAATCGAAATATCTCGTTTCCACTGTAAAGCACCTTTAGCCAACTGGACATTTTTCATGGATGTTGAAAGTTCTTCGTAGAACCATCAATACTGTAGAGAACCTTTATTTTCGAGAATGAATGAAAACTGTGCTATCTATTTTTATATAAACATCTGTCTGTAATTGCTTATTATTACTAGTCATTTCTAAATCAAAATCAACACCATTTTGTGTGTATTGTTAATACAAATATTATTTTAAAAATAGTTTATTTAATACAGAATTATTAGTATAACAGTATTATAGATTAAATAAATAATTAAATTAATAAAAAAAACATTTAAACTTATTTTTCCAACTGACAACTTCCCAGATGATCCAAAAAAAAGTTGTATTCCCAGATTTTGCCCTCAAACTATAGTAAAGAATGTGTATACTCAAAAACACATAATCCATACCATGCACTACCCAAAACAGTAATTAGGCTCACAAACACTTTCATAGCTCCCCTCTCATACACACACACACTTTACGCAAGCATTCACGCAGAAGCACCATGTGCTGTGTTTTTGGTCAGCTGTGTTTTTAGTGAGGGGGGAAAAATGTGTTGTTTTAGTTGCGCCTCTAGTGAGAGAATGTATGTGTGTGTGCTTGAAAAAATGACACACAGACACACAAGCGACTGGTCCCAGACTCTCCTTTAATGTGCATCTCCAAGTGACTTTCTTTATTTCTCTCTGGCTCCTTGATTCCTGCTCTCAGGATTAGGGGGTGGGTAGCGAGACAGAGCGAGAGTAAGTAAGAGAGATTGAGAGTGAGATGGCTTTTAGCCCGGTGCCTCAGCCGGTGTGGATCGTTAATTGAGCTTCTCCCATAGGGGGGTATCAGAACCCAGATTAATTTGGCTCCCCCTTCTAACACACACACACATGTGATTTAACCCTCACACAAACTCACACTCTTTTTTTGACTATTTATGAAAATATATTCTATTTGACCACAGTTGTCAGATGTCCTGTCGCTGCTGGAGTTTCTATCCTGATAGGAGATTGCGGGTGGATTTGGGCGAGAGTCTCTATAGTGGAGTTATTGATTGCTTTGTGGAGTGTAGCACTATTTAACTGCTGGGACCCATAGGCCTGGACTCATTAGGTTGTCTTCATCTGTGCATTGCTGTCTTGAATTTTTATGGGTTTCTAAGTAATGGAAAGACATTGCAAAATTCTGGGTTCTCCAGGTCTGAAAGAGTCCTCCATACAATATAAAAAAGAAGTAATGGAAAAGCATTTATAAAGGCATCATATGTCCTCAAATATATATAGATTTTTTTTGTAAACGATTTAGCTGGCAGGGAGTGCCTCAGTTTATCGGGCCACCGATATGATCATTGATTTTTGGTCAAATGGGTAATAAATCTATAAAAGTTAAAGGGTATATTTTCTTTTTTATATTTTTTTCAATTAGCTGCAAAAGGTGCATAAATTATGTTGCGTAACACCACATTTTTCAAAGCAAAATCCAATTTTCAACTCAAACTTCTCCTTGATTAGTAAAATAACATCAGATTGGAAAATAATATCGATAACACTTTACAATAAGGTTCATTAGTTAATGCATTTACTAACATTAACTAATCATGAACAACACATGAACAGCATTTATTAATCATAATTGAACATTTACTAATGCATTATTAACATCCAAGTCCATCCTTGTTAACATTAGTTAATGCACCATGAGTTAACTGAACTAACAATGAACTACTGTATTTTCATTAACTAATGTTAACTAACATGAACAAATACAGTAGTAGATGTATTGTTCATTGTTTGTTCATGTTAGTAATTGCATTAATTAACATTAACTAATGAACCTTATTGTAAAGTGTGACCATAATATCTTTGAAGTCTGAAAGGCTTGAATGTAACTCTAAACTTCTCATAAAATAAACACTAAACTATGAATGTGCTAATTTGCAGTCAGTCACGTCAGCTCTACCTGCTCTACTTTTATTGAGTCAGTGGAAGTAATTGCTGGAGTTAATGCTGCATCATGGCAAGTGGAAATTTTGGATTAAGAGTTATCACCTTGACAATCACTGCCATTTCAGGAAAGAATCTGTTAGTGTGCTGTATTTATTTTGGTTTTGAATTGATTTTAGCTTAGATAACCTGGGAAAGTGTGTTTCTTAATCACTGAAAACTGTCACTCATCTGTTCAGTGTTATCTCAAAGTTTGCACAATTATCTTTTTATTTGGATATTGTATATGCAGTGTCTTTAATGGAGGATTCACAATGCACTAAACAGCATATTGAGGAGTGGATTCTAACTACATAATCACCTCTGATTCTTTCATTGCATTAAAGAAATTACAGATAAGTCTGTGATTGGCAGCAGTGTTCAAAGTTGCAGAAACACTTTGTTGACAGACACAGACAAATGCTGATAATGACATAAAAGTTTTGCCTTGTGAGATGATAGGATTGGGAAACCTAGTAATTTTTGAGACCTAGTAATGATGTTGAATGATAAATTTGCACACTTTAAAAACACCAAATAGACATGTAAACAATCTTGAATTCCTCAAGTTCACTACAGGATGGTCTTTAAAATCATTGTTTAGTAAAATGCATCCCTGTTTCTGAGCAAATTACCTTTTTTATTTAGTCAGTTTTTTATAAACAGTTGGCCCAGTTTACTGATTGATTCATTGAGCATTCATAAAAAAATACAAATAGGATATATTTTGCCCTGGGATAAATTTCTGAGAGCTGAGGAATATGAACCCTGAACTATATTTTCTTGCAGTTTTTATTTTCAGTTTTTATTTCAAGCTGATGTGTATACTTTAGATAATCGGTTACTGGGCATGTTTTCTCATACGTGCCATTTCTTGTAAATTGGGTTTTATTTTACTGGTTTCTTTAACCGTCCTTTGCCAGACTCAAACCCCAGTCCAGTCCGATCCTCCAGCCAAGTCTGGCAGTGTTCTCTGTGAGCAACCAAGCAAACCCACGCTGAAAAAGCTGCCCATACAGAAGTAAGCTGTGAGTAGTAACACCCTGTAGCATTCGTTTTCCACAGAAAAAGCAGCTATTCTGTAACCAGAGGGACATATTTCTATGTTCTCAGAAATGTGTCCCTGGGCACATTTAACCTATGAGCCTGTGTTGAAAGAAAAAAAAACTTTTTGTGTTATCACATGCCTGAAAAAGGAGGCGGAATTGTTTTTGATGTTGGAAAATAGAGCTGTGAACCTACACTGGTCTCACGGTTCGGTTCGGTTACAATTATCATGCCATCGATTCAGTTAAACTCGATATCTTGGTGAACCACGGTGCATTGACGGTGCTTTTCATACACAGTTTTATATTTTCTTCACAGGAGTAATTCTTGTAATAAAATGTATGAATATATTTATTTATGTACTATTTGTAAACAATTTTGTCATTTAATACAAACAGTCAGATAGCTATATAAACTGTACCTTTTAACAACACGAGCATTTATAGCAAATAATATAAACAAATATAAATATCCTGCTTTCTGATCCTTGTC